AATGGATTCGAATACATGAGTATCCGCAGTCCGGTTGTCGAGTACTCACAATTGAGTATCAGGTACTTGTCTTGAGAGTTGTATGAATTGATACCCTATGTTTGTACTTTGTCTCTGTACAAATGTAGAGGACCGACCCAGAAAGGAAAAAAAGGTACAAGACCAACCCGCACCGGCAGGAACCACAGAGATGGTCTCCAGCGGCAGCGGCATATGATCACTCATGCTTAATGCTATCAGTCGATGTTGTGCTTCTCCATAACCACCCACCCGCCTGGTACCCGACAGGGGAGAGTTAGGAAGGGGATCCCTGTCCACAGTTATTTCTCTATTGGAAAATAGCTTTTGGGGGGCAGGATCAACCCTGGGGACCAGTCGTCCCGAGTCGGCTGCAGCTGTAAGATCCAATCATTGGGAGCCGGGCCGGGGTATTCCTGGGTTGGCCCTTCTTGTTGTTTCCCCTCTCCCCGTTCCATTTGTCCCACCGTTCCTGAAATTCCCGGATCTGGACTACTTGTATTATGGGCGATGCCGTTATTTGACGAGTCAGCTCTCGGGGGCTCGTTTTTCCACCCTCCGCCAGTTCTGGATAAAGTACAAAGTAAGCAGGTTGAGGTCGTGCTACATCAAATCCCAGGTTGTCCTTGATGGCCGGCCATCGCCATCCTATGAACAACGCTCAACGTTACAAACTACTAGGGGAAAATCTCCTAGTATTGGCACATCTCATCGCTGACACCATCAAATGTGGTTAGTTACACTCGATGAGCGCCTCCCATGCCAGAAATCTTCACCCGTCACTTGTTACGTGGGCTAGCCCTCGACATCCCGAGGACAGAAATACCCTGTGGTGGGAAAATACGTACTTCTGTACATCAATGCTCATACCTACCGTCTTGGCCTGCGCCCGTTACTTCGTACCCTTTGATGTTGAGTTATGTGAGTGATCCCAACCATAGCAGCCGCTCAAACCAAGTCTGTCAACTGCTCTTAATTGAATGACGAGCAAGATTTGTCAGGATATATTGGAACCACAATCACAAGCACGCAGCTAGATTACCACATGCACGGCTGCTCATGAAGAAATCTTACCGTGGTTTTTTTTTTTTTTTTTTTTTTTTTTTTTTTTCAAGATTTTCCCACTGGATGTTTGGCCGGGCCATTTCCCCGAGTTCCCTCTTCTGCTCTTATGCCTCGTTGACCCCTGCTGTTCCAAAAATCTATCTCATTGCCGTTGTCATCATGCCCTACTTTGGATGGACATCAGATAATCAAGAAAAAGATATTCTCGGCCTAATTTACAGATTCTCTCGAATGTTTTCCAGGAGAAAATGCAGTTTCCCCTCGCCGGCGAAAACAGCGAAAGAGAGTTGGTGTCTACCCTAAGCCGGAGAAGCCAGCGGTTATGGGATGCGTCATGGCGTCTTTTCCCCATCGTTTTTTGTTTGCTTCTTCTTCTTCCAATTCTTCTCTTTTGCCGTTAAGAGGGTGTGAGAGTGTGATGACCCATGAACGAGGAAGACTTGCCCTTCTCGTCGCCAAGAAGATCGAGCATCTAATCCTATTGGACAATGCAGAGTGGTCGCTGCATCTCCCCTTGGTGATAAGGGACAGGGTTTGACCACAAATGCAACATTATCCCGTTCTGCCACGCGACGACGAGCGGGTGGTCATGTAACCCTTAACCATGTTCCTAGTCTCAGCAACCTCAGGGTCATTCCCCCCCTTTTGAGGTTCTTACACTAACTATAATCAACCAAGCTCTTGCGCTGGCAGGCACTTGCGGGTGACGTCGATTCCAAGCCAGCACAGAGGAATCGATCCTTACGCAGTCAGTCGAATCGGCATCAAATTCTTCGGGTCCACCGTCAGAGTCGGAAGCGGTGGGACTGCCTCCGTTGACCAAAGGGTCACTGGGCTCGCATTCACCGGCTGTCTCTCCTATCGTCTTATTTTGAAAGAGACAAACGCACTGAACTGAGGTGATTTCTGATCCAATTTTTTTTTTCCCTCTTCTCTCTTTTCTCTCCCAAGAATAGGAACATCTTTTCGGAATTCCTAGTCACAGCTTCATTCGCATCCCTTCATCGCGGCCTAAGAGCCTACGAGAGCTTTGAATGGAGCATAAACGGCGTCTATTTAAGTCATTAACAACACTTATTACTTTAGTGAACTCGTCGAAAATTGCAATCCAGCATCTACGTCACCAGCTACCGCCATCCTCTCCCTTCCGTGCCTATTTCTGGCCCTGTGTGGCTCGCATATTTCACATTGAACAGCTTTGGCTACACACAGATACGAGAGTCAGCTGCAGCTTGCTTGCAGTCGTACCAAATTTTCAGGGACTTGGACGTGGTGGAGGATCGGGGTATACGGCAAAATTCAAACCTCTCGGTTACCAGCCATTATGAGGTCTTTGGAGAACGGCCCTACCTCCAGGTACCGATCACCTCGGTACCTGACCATCACTCCGAGGTAGGACGGCTTCACCGACACGCACAGTCCTTGCGGTATGTCCTCTATGCTTTCTGTGTGGGAAAGGCTCAGATTTGATGGGACTTGATATGAAGTCTTGACCTGGCGGTCGTTACGATCTAAGACATTCATTTCCTGCTGACCGCCTCCCTAGGTTTGCGATCACCGTCATGCATCCGATTTCAAAGGCGCAGCCATATCTTATTCGTTTGGATACTTCATAGTCGCAGAGATATAGACATGGACACCTAAAGGCGTGCCTAGTGCGATATCTCGCGGGGAGACTGCTGCTCTGTTGTGGAAACTCGGAATTGCGAAACCGCTATTTGCCCAAAAGAATGATACGTCGCCTTTTCTCAAGCCACAACTGAGTGGACGCCGTGCTGCCGAGAATCATGAGACCCTCCATAGCGGCATTCAAATTACCCAAACTAGTGTGGTACGTCGATCAAAGAGAACTCCCTCTCCCGATGTGTGGATGAGAGCTCTCCACGTCGCGCTCTGAGCTGTCCACGATTCTCAGCTTCTAAGGACACGAAGTAAGCGTGGTCGGAAGAGGATAATCAGAGAAGCGCTGAGCCTGTCTGGAATACTTTCGTTTTGCAGACAGAAGTGGTGGTCGATACCAACGGACAGTCATGGCCACGCCTGCGATGAGGCAGCTCAACGAAGCGTGCGTACATTAGTCTCGAATGTGCCTCAGCTCAGTCCTTGGCGATCTTCCCGTCTAGCACTCTAGCGACATCGATTGGGAGTATGGGTTGCAAATAGTCTTCGAGTGGAGAGCTGGAGTTTGAAGGTTGACGCAGATATGGCAGACCTCTTTCTGTGATGTTGCTGAACTTCTCTCTTGGAACCAATGGCATTCTCTGGCCACACAGAATACTCGCAAGGGCTTGCAAACGGACTCTCTGGAATTTGTTGAGATGCTGTTACTGAAACCGCCGGCAGACAGCTTTCTCTAGGATAGAAGTCGGGAGAACCCTCCCCTTCTTCCTCTTGACAACTTTGCCCTGCGTGACCAGTCACCTAGTAATTACCGATGAGGTCATGTCACATCGCTGACAAGTCCAGGCTGTTCCTCATTCTCGACGTCTTCTGGCCTCAATCCAACTATGTTCCCGGCGTCGCCTTCGCTGCACAGTGGGTAGCTGAAGCCACTGCATAGCATATATCTCCGAATAGCCTTACCAAGCTAACTAGTCTAGGACTCTCCTCCAATGCCCCCTCTTAGCCTTTTCCAAGAAAATGATTTCAATCCACATTCCGAGTAAGACACCTGCCTATATTTCCAAGATGAGCCGAATACTCGTCCCATGGCCCTGCCGATCCATGTGGTGGCAAGCGCCAAGAGATGGGCGAGGAAGGCATGGATACGACAGGAAGTGTCAGTAGCGTTCTAGCCTAGGCTTAGCTGCAATGTGGCTTGTGCTAATGGCGAGCTGATGGCTGAAGGAGGTGGGACTAAAGCATGGAGGACACGTGTGTTTGCTTTTTCGCAAAAATAATCGGCTTGGTTATCTTATGATTGCCATCTACCTGTGTATCATACATTGGAATGAGTATTTCCACGAGGCAGGTTGGTCAAGTTTGGACCGGGAGACTGCGCACCTATGTTTCGAGACCCTACTTTAGACGCCTTCAGCCGTTGACGCTATGTCTGAAATCAAGTGTGGGTCAAGTTGAGATGGGCGTGTCAAGTGACTTCATCTCTCAGCGCATCATTTAACCAACGGCGCGTGAATTTTGAACCTGTGTTATTGGGATTCCCGTGTGGCGTCGAGAGGATCCATCACCAGTGGTTGGGGGCAGATCACACCCGGTCCTACCTGAGGGTAAGAGTCGAAACGCCTAGCGAAAGTTCCACTGTACGAGTGCACAATTTCCGCCTTCAACGATGTAGCATACCCAATATCGGTGGGAATCTATACCTGTCCTGACCTGCCACAATCTTCTACGGCCCTATGGCCGCTTTGGTGGCTCTCCATCGAGCGCCGTTCGCATGCCGTTTTCCTTCAAAGACGTCTCTGGGCAAGATTTCTTGACAAATGGGCCTAGAACACTCGGTGTGCAAGGGAACGGAGTTATGTACGATGGGAACTCTCAAGCATGTCTGAAGCGAGTTATGGAGTATAGCTTGACGTGGGCTTCAACATTGCCATGATTCTGGAATTTAGCTGTGTCATACGCAAGAGTGAATATCTACGAGCTATGAACACATGAAGCCAAACCCAGAGAAGGCTCACACCCTGGTGGTTGGTCAAATCAAACCAAGTCTCAAGAATCGAATGTAGATATTTAGTACATCCGTGGTTGGAGTATATAAGCTTACAGTAGCAAACAAGAAGTTCATTACGAAAACACTCCAAAGAAATCCCTGTCCCAGTGCCTCTACGACAGAACCACGGCTCTCCAAAAACAACCCCTGTCTTTCATCCCCGTTCCATGTGAGGAATCAGAACCGCCCTTCCCATTAGAAGAAATAGGTTCTCTCCTGGATGTCAGAAAGTGATTGTGCTAACCACTTAAGTAGCAGATCCACCAGTGAGCTTGATGACTTGGCCTGTAGTTGGTTCAAAAAGCGTTAGTCGATTCTCCCATAAAGATCCCCGGGATGGAACAGCACAAAAAAAAAAAAACCTATGAAGACATACCGTTGATCCACTCGCTCTCGGGGCTGCAGAGCATGGCAACAGCCTTGCCGATATCAGCGGGAACGCCAACCCGCTTGAGAGGGCACATGTTGGCAAGACCCTGGTCAATGATCTCCATGGGCATACCCTTGTAGCCATTGGGGACGTAATGCCACGAGTTCTCGTCGTACATGTCGGTCTTGACACCACCGGGGGCAATGGCGTTGACGGTAACCTGCTTCTCGCCGCAGTCGACGGAGAAGGCGCGGGTGAAGCCCTCGACGGCAGCCTTGGAGCCGGCGTAGAGAGCATGGTTGTGGATACCAGTCATGGAAGCAGCGATGGAAGAGGTGAGAATGATGCGGCCGCCACGGCTACAGTACTTGAGGCCCTGCTGGGCGACGAAGAACTGACCACGGCAGTTGAGGTTGAAAATACGATCGAAAAGCTCCTGGGTGACGTCGAGTTCGGAAGACCACACCTCAGTGCCCGAGTTGGAGACGACGAACTCGATGTGTCCGTAGTGGGCCATGACGCGGTCGAAGAGGTCGGCCACCTGAGCGGGCTTGCTGATATCGGCCTGGAGAGCGATGGGGTTGGTGCCGAAAGACCTGAGCTCGGTGACGGTGTCCTCGGCGGCCTTGGCGCTGGAGCCGTAGTTGACGACGACGTCGCAGCCGCGCTTGGCGAGCTCGAGGGCGATGCCCTTGCCGATGCCGCGGCCGGAACCGGTGACTACAGCGACCTTGCCCGCGAAGGGCTTAGCGGGGTTGACGGGGGCGTCGATGATGGAGGAGGAGCCCGTCATGAGGGTCTGGCTGAGGGGGAAGGTGGAAGCAGTAGGGGCCATTTTGGAAGCAGTGGAAGGAAAAAGTAGTAAGAGTAATAAGAGGGAATGGAGAAAAAGAAGGCCTTTTCAAAAAGGAATGGGAAGATTGGAAGATACCAAGTGGCTGAGGTTCCGGGAAAGGGACTGCGTAGAGATTCCTCTTAAGAGAAGGAGAGTAGACTATGAGTGAGTTTGGGATGAAGAATGGAAATCGAACAGGAAGATCCGACGGCTTTTGAGGGTTTATATAGATGATAGGAAAAGCGATGAAAGCGAGATATTCAAATGTCCGCAGGCGAAGTGCGAGGCTCCGTTTCGGACGGGAGTCGAGGTTGGGGAGTGCTTTCCAAGCCCCGCCGGTTACTAGGGGGTTTCAGAGACCCCGAGTATCCACGGCGATGGAGGCCAATGTATTAATGGATCAATGTAATGTTGAGTCCGGAGGAATGGGGAGAGGGGCTAGTGGTCAACACGGATGGAGGCGGTCTCGAATCCAGATACCAATAGATTTGATCTTTGTCTCTTACATGCGGATAGTAGCAGAGGGCTCTTCTCTCCGACAAGGACAAAGACGAAGAAGAATTTTCTACTTGCCGGTAATACAGCCTCCAAAAACTTTAGGGGAGACATTGATCAACTCAAAGCTTGATACAGTATGTTCCGAGTCCCTTGATGCTCCCTGGTTCCTTCCTCGTGTTTCTGCCCTTCGGACTCGAACAGTTTCATCATTGGTGCGTCATTGGCTTGGAGCATTGAACTCTCAAGCTGCTGGACCCTGTAAATCTCAACCAATGCCGCCCTATATTTTGAGTTGACAGGGTCCACCTTTAGCGTGTTTCCACTGATGTTTTGACTTCCTGCAGGGCGTGTGACCACTAAACCCACCAGAATCATCCACTAATTCTCAGCCTCTCCCCACTGGGTCTTGCATTGTCCTGCCCCCTTCATTGCTTCATTGTTCCGGACCCGACCGCACTTGCTCGTTGCTCCGCCAGGAACGGACACCAGTTTCGGAGACTATTCCCAAAACGCATAGCCGGATTCGTCGACGGTCCTGGATCTTTGTGACCAGGGAATCTCCGGCCCGTCAATCATCCCTGGAGATATTGGAAGTTATGGAACCCCGACGACCCCGGATTTGGGGGAAAAGAGTGCTATCCAGGGCAATATTCCCCCACCGGACGTCCGACGCGGGATTGCGGGGAGCGTCTAATGATGGAAGACTTTTTTATTTCTATTTTTTTTTTCTCTTTTTTTTTCTCTTTTTTTTTTCTCTTTTTCTTTTTTTTCTCCTTCACTCTTCTTTTCTTTTTTTCCCTGTTGATGCCCTGTTGACGCGTCAGACTGTTGAGGTTCAAAATTGACCTTTTTCCAGACCAGAGCCCAAGCCATTTCTCGGCATGTCATCAAATTATTATTATTAGTCTTCGCCTCAGCATGGCACAGCACAGCGACTAGGAAACGGTCCTCCCGAGTGACGATGCACTCAGAATCACTCCTTCCTTGCGTTGAGATCGCTCTCGACGTGGGATAAGATTGCATGAGGTGAAGTTTAATTTAGGTTGCCCAGCATCGATTGATCTAACCGATTCGGGCATCATCATGATCTGCAGGGGTGGAGAGGGGAAGCGAAAGGCTCAGGGATCAAGGATCGATCAATTTACAAGTACCAATCTCAAGGTGTACCGTAAACATGGCATAACAAGTTGAATGGTAGACATCAATTTGGTCATGGATATTAAAAGCAGATTGCTCGCCGTTTCTGCAACACCTCTGCTCTGCCTCTCAGCATCTACCTGTCGGCGGCGCGGTCATCGAGCTCGGCCGAGTAGTGCTCGGAAGCCGTGAATATCAGGTTCCCTCCAAACCGGACTTTTTGGACCGAAAGTATCAGCCACCCTTAAGCCCGTCCATCTATCTATTTCCCGAAAGAATGGAAATATCAAGGACAACTCGGGGAATTCCCCAAATTTTCCCTCAACAGATATGTCTGTCCCATAGACGGTCGAGAAGCCACCTGGAAAGATAATTCTCTGGTCTCTGGGGAAAGTGACCTCGGAAGATATTCGTACCAATCAGACTCCGATATCACCGACAACAAGTTGATGATCTTGAGAGCCTCCCAATACTCGGGATAGAACCCACTATACTCCCAGTCAATAATTCCGTTGGCTTTCTAGCTTCCATCCTCTTTTTCCACCACAGTGATGTTTGCTAGCCGGAGGTCGCTATGCGTAAATACCAACTCCATTTCATGCGCGTTGGACCGGACGAGACTCTTGAGAAATCTCACGTAAACAGAATCCGCCGGTCTATGATCCGAGAAGACAAACTCTTCGAATTCCTTGGCGTTCAGGATGGACTTGGCGCTGACGCGAAGGTGCCGTCGCGTGTCCTTGCAGCCTCCTCCGCCCACACCGCCAAGTGGTGTATCCGGCGGCAGGGGCAGTGACCGGAGGTCCGACAAAATCGAGTCTAGCTGCGCGCTGAGATGTCGCTTCTGCTGCTCGTTGAGCTGAGGCCAGGTTTTCTCCAGGTCGCTTCCGGGTACGAAACTGCTAAACATGAGTAGGTAATGCCCCATTTTGACTAGCCCTCGCGGTCGCGGCGCTGATACGTGAGGCGTGTTCTTCGAGATATCGAAGGTTCGAGTATTCGGTTGTATTGTCACTCTCTCGAATTAATTTGACAACGGTCTCTTCTGTAACCCCGAGAACCATGATTGAAAATCCGTAGGCCTATTCGAATATCATTTCGCTCTGGTCTACGCGACGTTGGACGTCATCTGCAAGTGGAAATAGAATAGCGGCAGTATCAGTGTATCTCAATAGTGACCTTGTATATCCCTAGGAGGCAGGGTTCGGCGGCTCGGATGGCCCGATGTCTCTGGGCCTCGCACCCTTGCTGTTCGGTATAGGTTGGTGGAAAGACAGCGAGTAGGTTGGCCTCGGGATTGCCCCTGAGGGCGCGATTGATCGCCTTCAACATCCTGGCATTGAGGCTTGCTGCTGGTGTTCGACGGTTCACCTTCAACACCCCTTCAGCCGGTGGCTTCGGGACGCGGAGAGAAGAATCCGGATCTCCTTTAAACCACATCCTCGATTGCGAAGCATCCGTATTGGGCGCCAAGGATAAAATTGACGGATGCTGTCAAGCAAAGAGAAGTCGGCTTCGGTCTGCGAAATGGCGTTTACGAAGTAAGCCTGTTTGTGATATCCCTGGGGTGGAACGCCGGATTGGCTGTTGGTTTCAGAGATCGAGGGGCAGACTGGCCCCAAGGGCCAAGTGATCATTGGAGCATTCAGAAGGTTAGAAAATTGCAATTTTCGTAGCTCGTGGGAAGAAACCGGGATTCGATTCTGGGAGCGACCTACGAGCGAGCCTTTTGTCTCTCTCTGTCTCTCTCTCTCTCTTTTTTTTCTTTTCTTTTCTTTTTTTTTTTTTTTTTCTCTCCCCCTCTTCTCCCTCACTCTTTCCCCTTCCTATCCGACGCTTCATGCCAGCCTGTCCAAACTCGTTCACTCGATGCGGCCCGAGAGGGCAGTTCACAGCTATAGGAAGAGAGAAGTAGATTAATTTTCATGTATAAATGAGTGTATATATCAGTTGATGTTTGCGCCATCATGGGCAATATTGCAGCCGTCGCGTCGCGGCGAAGTCGAGCTGCATCAACAGTCTGTCTCATCGAGTGTCTTCATTTACATTCCAAATTCGATACTTCCGCCGTGACACCTGCAAACGTCTCCATGGATATCCCCGACTCATAAAAATCTCCATGTTGGTCTCCATCCCCCTGATATTCTTGCACCGACCCCTTTCTTTTGAACGCCTATGCGCCATCCCCCCCGACCTAGGAATACTGTCCACCCAAGGTGTGAAAGAAAAGGAGAAGAAAATTAGAACCAAGTAGAGACAGAAAAAAAAGGAAGGAAAATGGCAGGAGGTAAAGCAAACTTAAACTGGAATGGTCCCCATACTATCCACGGCCCAATGACTCCCCAGCATGACGAGCTTCCGCTTGATTCCATCCCCAATGCGCGTGCTTACCCCTTCATTCAACGCAGACACTCCGTATGAGAGGACGCTGCTAGCCTTGTCAAGTGCTACTGTAGTGCCGTCTTGCCTGGTTAGTACAGCCACTCCATCCCCCGACCACAAATATGCAATGATAGCAGGGTCCTCGGGAGTGACCCGGTCAATTGCTACCAGGTCACTATTGCCTTTGCCCTGCAGCGGTGTTGGCGGTCCGTTATTTGTCGGAGTTGGTGTTTCCATTCTTTCGCTCCTACTCTTGCCCACTGGCGATGATTGCGGAGTGAGCATAGGCGAAGCTCGATGTGTTTGCCGCTTCTGAAACTCTGGGTCCAAACGACCAATGCTATCTACCCACAGGATCAGGGTCGCTCGATATATGGCCGCTGCCCACCAAGCAGGCCGTCGATTAGGTGACATGGACCGTACAAGCCGCATCACCTGCCCAGAGTGGAAAATAGCTTCCTCTCGGTTGGAAATGCACCTCTTATGTCGTTGGGAAAGCTCCCATATCGACCCGTCAAAGCCTTCCCGCCGTGCCAACCGCTCAATCTCGGGGAAATTGGTGATAGCGTTGAGAGAGATCAGGTGGTAAAGAACGAGGTTGCACTGTGTGAGGTAACAGCCAGGATTTTGTTTGTGGAGAGCTACTGAGAGCTCATACCACTTTTGCAACAGACCTTGAACTTCTTCCAGCCGCGTCATGGTATTGGATTTGGTCACGGTCCTCGAAGATGAACCCCGGGTTGCGGGAGCTTCCCAAAGGCAAGAGAGCATCTGTCCGAGATGGCAGAGAAGCGACTGAAGCGGGTGTAGGAGGAGACGTAATTGCATCGGTGTAATGCTTCCTGGCCTCCTCGCCAGATTGTCGTGGAGGAAGTCGTGGAACAGATCGCAGAGTGAAGGTGTCAGAGATGGCGAATTCAGAACCTGTGGGTTGACGTTAACCTCGCCTCCGAATAGTTTCTGGACGTTAGAGCACCATTCCTCAGAATTCGTTGACATCCATAGAACCTCCGGTCCGGGAAGAGGGCACCGGAGATCGGAAATGGCGAGCGTTGGTGCCGTATCGTGGAACAAGCTCAATTCTTGATCAACCATAACCCAGTTATAGACGAGTCTATTACAACTTCCACGTCAAAAATTCTATCCTTTCTCTTGGTATGTTTTCTTTTCCCAATGCTCCTTACCTGTTCTGAAGCTCGCGATGGAGCCATGTGCGCCATTGTAGTTCAGGGTTCGTTTGTCCGTTCATGGGATGTAGCACGGGTGGTTGCGGCTCTAGCATACCAGCGTGTTTGAGCATCTATTTCCATAACAGGCTTGAGTTAGTATCGACTAGAATGAAGACACCTGGAAATCCTGGATTAATTAATGAACCAAACTCACCGACAGGTACATGCCACGCTGACCCATGGCAATGTCCATCAACCACTTATCCCCACTCCAAGCACCCAAAATCGTAAAAAGGAGGGCACATCTCAGGGCAACCGGATCTGCCGAGAATTCCACATTCTTCTCAATGGTGTCAAATAATGATATCCGGCATGTCTCCGTTAGTCCCGCTGCCAGGTATCTAGCCTCCGCCATAGGGACAGACGATGCTCCCTGGGCAATCATCAGGAGAACTAGGAGCGTGGAGGCCTGGTTGTTGATTAGCATCTCGTTAGGGTCAACGCAGCCTGCTATGACCAGGTTGAAGTAGCTGGAAAGGCTGTGGACGTGGCTTCGTAGAAAATACTCCAGCATTTTGTTCGGGGGCAAGACAATAAAGTTGAAATTCCCAGGGCTCGGATATCCGCTTTTCTGGAAGCCGTTGATCCCGCCTCGGTGAATCTCCAAGGCTTTGTGTAAGAAGGACTGCGTGATAGCAAGCATCTTGTCTCGTGTCCTTTGTGTCATAGGAACAACTGAGGCAAGATCTAATGAATTCCAATCCACTTGATCCAGATATTTCTCTAATGATGTCCAATAGCATTCCTCCTTCGACCTCTGTTCGAGACACTCGAGATGAACGATAGCTGTGCGCGGACACGATGCGGAGTAGATTGGCGGATTACACCGTGCGAGTGGCCATGCAGACTCTGCGGCGATAACGACTTCAAACTCTGGAATCATTCCATCAATCATCGCCGGGGGAGGTTCTATAGATGGCGGCTTTAGCATGTTTCCGTACTCCCCAGAGAGGATGCTTGCGTTGCTTGTATGAATGGACCCTTGGGAAGAACTTGACGTCATTGGCTCCGACCCAGATGAGAGGTCGCTCAGTTCCGTGAAAGCCGTTGGAAGCGGTGTATTTCCAAGCTGTATTTGGTTCGCGTATAAGTCCAATTCGAGTGGATAGTCGGGCCACATTAATAGGAGCTCATGGTAGTTGGTGTCCGTGACAAATTCACCGCCGAGAGGAAGCATATCATCGAAGGTGTCCATCCGGCTACTAGGAGATGAGAAGTTCTCCGGGCTAGGGTGGAAAGTCAGCGACGGCGTTCTTCGAAGTACATCTGCCGCCCGGGGATCCATAGGAGCTATGGGTGATCCGAGTGGAGTAATGTGCTTGACCGGAGTGGTCGGTTTTGGTAACCCCGAGTCGACATCCATGAATGCTACGGGTGGCATTATCGGCTGAACGTGCGGTGTCGCCGGCGGTGGCATCATACTATTGTGGTTGTTGAAAGCGGCGCTCGCCTGCGCGGCTCTCACGGCGGCCTTTGAGGATCTTCGGGCAAACCGGGCTGCGCAAGGCAGGTTCTTTTCTGCGCATCGTGCACAAGGCACCCTCTTATCACATCCGGTCTTCGCATTCGCGCAGTTCTGGCACGCAATCGGCGTCCTTCCGGCTACAGTTGGAACGCCCCCAGGAAGTGGCTCCATAGGATCCCGAGCTTCATGGTAAGTGGAGTGATGTCGCTGGAGCAAGTCCCTGAAATATATCCGATTAGTATAAACTCGATTACCCGTCTATGGAGTACGGGCCCGCCTACCTTCTGGCAAAGGATAGCTGGCAGGCGCTACACCTATGTGGTTTGACGTTGGTGTCTATCCAGTGAGTGTTAGCGGCAGCTCGTCCTCTTTACTCTTCCAACATTGGAGGCATCTTACGACTCGGAATATGTCTCTCGAGGTGCTCCTTTCTTGTGAAGGACTTCCCGCAATATGCGCAAAAGACGACCATGGTGCTCGAGAGGAAAGTAGATGGTACGCTGAGGATAGATAGGACCTAATAATTTGAGATTTTCGTGTGTAATTTGTGCTTTGAACTTCGCAAACAAAGTACCCGGCCCCGTCAAGGGACACTCTCTGACAGGATTAGGATTCGGCAAGGGACATACGATTGTATACAGCAGAACGATAAGAAAACGGAACAAGAGTGGATCAACTTATATCCATATAAGTGAGAGGGAAGGGTCCTGGAGAAGGAACAAAACTTGCTCGACCAGACTCTATGCTCCGAGGAAACCAGAACAGATGAAGGGGCTCACGAGATCCCGGGAAAATCGAGAATGTGAAGGGACCTCTGAGTGTATGTAGGAGTAGATTAAAGAAGAAGTCTTAAAAGATGGGTGGATGGACGGAGGGGGCAGGGGGCAGGGGGTATTAAAGGTTAAAATGGCCTGTGGAGAGTGAATAACTCAGTATAAGTACCAATATGATCTCTAACAAGGGTATAAGCCTTGTGTCACACCTAGGTCTTCCTCGGCGTGCATGTCGACCCGAGCCCACAATTTAAGTACAGTGGATGCTACCTGGGTTGATGAGCCAGGTCGTAGGACATTGTTCTGGCACAGGAACTTGTGTATGTGTGTGTGCTTTTAGTCGAGGCGGTGCTTTTCAGCGAATGAAAGGCACTCGAGTGAAGAAACGGTACGGCAGAAGGCGATATCTAAGACATTGTAAATGGCGGCAGCTGCTGCTGATGGGGTGCGTCCCCGAGGCGTCATTCAGCCGCGCTAATGAACAATTGATACATTCATCGTCCTGTCTGTATGCACGTATAAACACAGCAGTTCAGCCATGTGTAAATACGGGGAGGGGGTGGACAGGGTGTATGCTTCAAAGTGGCATCAATGTCCTCTGCTAGGCGCGATTCGCGGGACTATTAAATCGTGACCGCCGTAGCAGGTGTGACCTATTACTCCTATTACTTGAGTATTCAGCTAGCTTTTCTCGATAGCTGTACTATGTCCATGGCGATGATGTATTCGTTTCTCGTTAAGGGCAGTACAAGGCCATTCGTTGATCTCGGGAACTTCACAGGGTGGGCCAGTCTCACTCAAGTTCCGAGATCGACCTCGTTAGAGACAATCGAAAAGGGTAAAAGGCGCTTGGTAGTTAGTCTTGATCAAGCAACCAAACTGCATGTGCAGATTGGTACATGCAACATAAATGATCCGTGTTATTGATGAGTGCCAACGAGAGCGGTCGACAGACAGGCTGCTCGGAAGAAGGGGCCTTGGTACGAATAGCTCTCTGACCACCGCGGAGAGCGACTTGTTAGTTAAGCTGCTCAGCAATTGAATTCAAGCCCATAGGAAACGAGAAACTAGGGGCAACTCAATGATGGGAAAAGGCAAAAGCATCATCGGGTAGATCGTGATAGTGTTCCCTGTCTGTTCGCCGTTTCCACACGCACACCAACTTTTGAAACCAGGAACCAGAGACAGGAACTGGCCAAACCCTTGGGCCTATGTGGGGATAGGCCGTGGAAGGGAGGGGCAACCGAGCATTTGGCCATCCAAGGATTGAGATATCATGTGGAAGTGGTGATTTCAACGACTGATGAAGAAGGGGAATATGAAATAGAAGCAGGTAAAGGCTTATGCATGCTTGTTTTCGTGCCACCGGCTAGGTAGCTTGTAGCCGATTGACTAAGACAATGCTCCAGGGAGGGAGGATTTGAAATTTTCTGGAGAGCGAAAGAGCGGAGTGGTCTTGGTTGGATGAAGAAGCAAGGTCTGACTAGCCAGGGCAACGGGTGTTGGCATTGGTGCTTAGAACCGGTGGGAGATAAGAAGTGAATATGCTTTTTGCTCTCCAGTTGTTTCCATTTTGGGCTTAAGCTCTTTGAAGAACCTACACTTCCTTGGGTTTGTTTGGGGGCGAGACGAGGCGAGAGGGACTGCTGGACAACAGGATGTGCAAAACCAATGCAAGGACCCAAGATACTTGCGCCGGTGAGAGGATATTGAGCGCTGGTCACGACCAAAGTGCATCTGGTCGATATGGGTATGAAGTGTACCCGCCAGTCGACTCAACCCGAGAGGAGCAGGAGCCAGAGCGGCAGCAGTAGCGACAGAGGACTATATTGGCTAAGAATCTATCATCTGGTCACCCTCCATCGTCTGAGGCGGCCAGTAACGGCGCCGGCCGGGGCAGCTAATGCCGGTACTCGAGAAGGTACTAGTACTTCTATCCACTCCTGATCAAGCCCGTATTGGTATGTCGTTTTACTACTACGTACTTCTTGAGAAGGTAGGATTTGATCGGAGAGCTAGCTACTTTGGGCTCATCTGAAAACCCCTGGGATACAATGGAGGAGGAGCAGGGGTGAGGCTTAGGCGCGGCCTGGTAGTCCAGCTAGGTCAGCCAGGATAGATCCACTCTAAGCCTCCAGATATCAATCAATTGGAGCAGCCATCACACAGATTTCACCTTCTCGGTTCTCTCGGCGATTCAAGTGGGTACTGAAGTAAGTGTACGTAAAATGTATCAAGACAGGTAAATGGCGATAAAGTCGGTGTGTCGAGGTAAATGCTAGAGCAGCCTGGCAACTCTCAGCTACTTCGTAAACTCGCATCCCACTCCCGGATGTGCCTTCCTCGTCGACAATGTGACCAGGTCTTCCCATGTGAAATGCACAAGCCGAAATGAACACTCATACAATGGAAAGAGCCTCCCATCCTGAATTGGCTACATCAAACTTGGTCAATTGTTTCACTGTCCTCGACCCCCTCTCGGTAGTGGTGCGGAACCAGAGGTCGCCATCTCCAGATTTTCAGGAGGGCGAGCCTCGAATTAACCTCAATATTACTCATTAGAGTTTCCTTCGAATGTTCTTCCCGGCTGCTTACGCCCAGTACGAGGACAAGGACATAACGAGTGAGACCGGGGGTACGTAGCCTGTGGCCCAGGATGCAGTTACCATTGTTGGATCAATTCAAGTCATTGTCAATTCAACTGCCTCGTCCCAGCTCAAATGTCCCTGCAGGACAACCCTATCATGTACCGCAGACAGATGCCAGAAGGCATGGATGCAGATCCTTGCAGATAGCCCAACGTACCCGGGAAAACAGCTTGAGCTTCATCACCTCTCCGCCGAACCACAAACGACCCTCGCCAGTCCAGAGCTGTATCCAGAGACTCTTCAGTCAGGATGCGGCGCCAAAATACCTGAGAATGCAGGTCTCGGTGCCGAGAATCGAGAGGGTGGAGCCACGCCCATACCCCCAGAGCTTTACCGAGGCTAATGCACAACTAGGCCGGCGGTAACTACGTCTACAATGGCGCCCCAAGGAATGCTTGACCACTCAGCGTCCAACGGAGCTTTATGCAGGTAAACTGCCATGCTATGATTCCAGCACCAGAGTAAGTACCGTTGCCACTCAGATACTGCTTGGTGTCTCACATTCAATGCAGGGAATAATAAATAACATTGAATTCGAGGAGTTTTACTTAATCCTCAAAGGATCCATTGCATTGCTTGAACATCGAAGAAACTCAATGCCACATTTTGCCAAGACATCCACTTCGCTAGTACCTCATGCTGCCCGGGAATCATGTTTTACCTAGGAACCGCGAGGTGTTCAAAATGTTTGAGGGCTCGGACGCTATATTATTAGATTCTTTCGTGTGATGTTATCTTTGTCGAGATCTCAAAAATA